AGCTGTTGCCTTTTCGTCCACATGGACGCAGTAGACATTTTGGGGCATGTAAATAGCTCTGAAGAGCCTTACAAAGGTATCAAAGTTGTGATGGATGACCATTATGTATGCCAGAGGGAACCCAGCCTCTTCTTCGGATAACGGGGCCGTGATGTAGCGGCTCTGGGTCAGATATTCTCTGCAGGAAGACTTCTGATATATCATCAGTTTGTCTCGCCACAGGAAAGGTGTTTTGCCTTTGATAAAGGATGCGCAAACTTGAGTCAGCATCAGAGTGTCCGAATTATTCAGCCTCTGGAAGCCTTGCTCTCCCCCAAATATGAACACATAGAACACGATAAAAATTATGACACAAGAGACAGAAACTATAAAAAGGTAACGCATCGATGAAGACATGCCTCACAGAAGAGCAAGATTTCAAAGCCGGTGGAAATCTGTAAGTCTTTTCCCAAACTTACTTTTTCCTCTGAGTTCTTATTTTGGTACCTGCTCCAGCCATTTCTACCCTGAAGGAGACGCTGGGAATTTATTCAGTTTCATGCCGGGAGTCCAGCTGCAGGCTCCGTCCCCATGCTGACATTAGCAACTGATCCCGCCTGGTTCTCTGCCTCTCTCAAAACGCCTTTGTCTAAATCCCAGCAGCAGGTTAAGCCCAGCCTTGCTCCCTCCCGCTGCTTCCGGGCTGGCATCCGCGAGCTGTTTCACTAAAACTCTGCTAACTGCTTTCCCCTGCAGATTTCGTTTCTCAGGTCTCTTTTCTTTCATTTCCCATTCCCCCGCCTCTCCTTCTCTCCCCGCCCCTTGTTATTGCCATTCAGGGAATTAGCACAGTGAAAGCCAAAGTTGAAAGGATGTGTTCTGGCAGGCATGCGCTTCCTGCTAGTCATCCGACTGGCTGCGGCACCCACCCCTCTCGCCGCTCAGGGCAGTGATCCATCCATAACCCGGTCCCTCGGCTCTCCCAGTGTGATCCACGGGGTATAAGGTAGCCTCCACTCTCAACTATGCTGCTTCAGTGAAAACAAATAACTGAGGTGACAAGGAAAATAAAGCTCATCCATCCTGGCTCCTCCATAAAGCTTTCCTGCCCCGCCCTACCGTGCTCAGCTCCAGTCCTGGGGGATCTGAATGGCAGGGATCCTGGCCCTGTGACTTTGAGATCAGGTGACAGCGCCTCTTCTCCCTCTTCCAGCATCCACCGTGGGGCCTGTCACAGAATGTCGGGGTCACAGGAACAAGTTTCGAGCTTCATACCCTGATTTAGATGAGACCTTAAAGCTTTACTTGAATCCTGGCCACAAGTAACAGTTCAGATTAGGGAACCTTGGGGCTATTCCGGTTTTAACCACCCAAAGAGCATCATCAGACACTGTTTCTGCCCAGTTAAGTGTCTCAACCACCTAGTCCTAGGAGATGAATGTTGGTTCCCCTATTTGCAAATAATAGTGTTTTGGCTAAGGAGTACCAAGCTCTTCCACTTACAGCGGTTCTCAACCTGTGGGTCGCGACCCCTTTGGCGGTCAAACGACCCTTTCACAGGGGTCGCCTAAGACCATCCTGCATATCAGATATTTACATTACGATTCATAACAGTAGCAACATTACAGTTATGAAGTAGCAAGGAAAATAATTTTATGGTTGGGTCACAACATGAGGAACTGTATTTAAAGGGCCAGAAGGTTGAGAACCACTGAAAAAGGTTCTTTTCTTCCACCGTTCCCTTTTGCACCAGTGCTTTTTAAATGTAGATTCATATATTTTACTTAAAATTACTCGGAAGCACCAGTTCAACTACTAAATGCCTTCCCACTGCTCCTCATTGTTTATCTGAACTAAATGCCTCAGTGCCTCCACCCTCGTCTCACAATGGAGACTGAGCCCCACCCACCCCATGAAGAAACCCTGTCCTTTAATGCACACTCTCTCCTTCCTTTTGACAAGTCTCCACCCTGCTGTCAAAGAACTAGAACAATACAGGTGTGGGGGTTGCCTGCTTTCAGTCAGCACCCACCCCCGCTGAACGGCACAGGGCTCCCTGAGCACACCGTCTGTTTCCTTCTTCTCACTGTCGTTGTTCCCATTGCGCATTCTCCCGCTTGGACATTCTTTCCTCTCTGCCTTTCCTCTCCTCCTTCTTTAAGACCCATCATAAATACACTCTACGTAGCCTCCACCATTGGATTTGTAGGCAAAGTGGGAAAAGAAAATGCAGCCATTATGTGGGTAAAGCAGATCAATCTCATCCTTAGTGTTTCTAAGGAGTAAAGCCAAGAAAACAACGGAAAGTTCAGGATAACAGAAAATGCAATCCCAAGCTTCTCTTTTTCTAAATAATTCCTTTAAATATTAGGTTATTGTACGTTCTATTTCAAAACAACAGAGAGTAATTTCAGTATCTAGTTTGGCAAAGCCTGTTGACTTAGAATGAGTGTTAAAAATATTTATAGTTTGCCCTAGTCACTTTGGCTCAATGGTTAGAGTGTTGGCCTGCGGACTGAAGGGTCCCGGGTTCTATTCCAGTCAAGGGCACACCTCAGTTGCTGGCTTGATCCCCCAGCCCCAGTCTGGGCATGTGCAGGAGGCAACCAATTGATGTCTCTCTCTCTCTCTCTCTCTTTCCCTCCCTCCCTCCCTTCCACTCTCTCTAAAAGTCAATGGCAAAATATCCTCCGGTGAGTATTAACAGAAGAGAAAAATATATATTTGCAATTTGATCAAGTGCTCAGTATACAGATATAGTATACTGTATCTGTATACTATATCTGTATAGTATACAGATATAGTGCCTAATTAACTTATAAGTTAATTAGGCCAACGGGGCTGTTTACATGATTATTTCCAACTGGCCAATAATACAGGGGTTCAATATACACAGGCATTAACAATGTTTCTATAGTAAGAAATGTAGACACTGGACAAATTAAGAACTTTCATGATACTTTTGTATTCAGTCCATTACTTCAAATGCATTGTTTGTGTGCTGAATATATACCTGTTTTTCCTCTCTGCCCTTTCAGCTGTCCTTGGGCCAACTTTCCCCACCCTCAGGTTCTGTTCTTAAGAAATCCCTATGGGAGAACTTTTTTAAAAACCTGTTGCTGCAAAGAGCAAGGCTGTTACCTTTCCTTCCTCATAGGCATCTGGTCTGCTTATCTGAAATAGACCCTATGCAATTTTTTTGCTACTGAGACTGAGCAACTCGGCCCCCAACCTGCCTTTGGCTGCAAAGAACTAGCTCATCCCTTTGAACTCTCACAGCCCTGACAACCGCACCTGTCCCTCCTCTGTAAGCACCTATTCCCGGACTAGCTAATTATTCTGGCTAGACATGTTTAACGCCCCCCTCCCCACTTCCTCCCCCCGTCCCCCAGGGCTACTCTTCATTCCATTTAGAAGTCTTTACTTTTTGTGCACTTTAAAGACCTTTTTCCAGTTGTGATACTATCTAGAACACGGTTCCAAAATGAAGAGGGTGTCCTTTCTTTGAAATGATGGGAGACTCAGATCCCAGTGAAATAAAGAGATAATCAAAGGGGAGAAAGAGAGTCCTCCGACACTGGGCCCTCCAGGCTTGCGTGTGAAGGGGCAGGGAGCACGTGCCTGCTGCTGCGAGCCCTAGAGGAGGAGGTGGGGAGGCTGCACGGCTAGTGTGCTGCCTGCCAGGCTGTCAGGCCTGTGCGGGAAGCGTCAGGCGGTGGTGGAAGACCTGGTGTTGTGCTGAGAACTTGGATTTCATCCTGCTGCCAAAGGAGCACCAGCAAAGACTTTGGGTGGAGGGCTGCTCCCCGGGAATATGTGCCAAGTGGAGGAGGAACAGTAGCAGAAGAAACCATGGTGGGAAAGTACACGGCAGCCCATATATATGCATAATGCACACATTAATAATAATGAAAATATTAGATGTAAGTAAAGCCTCTAAAACTGTGAGGTAAAGGTGCTACCTACTCCTTAATTAATAGTGTGTCCTAGAAACAATTCCAAGGCTCTAACAAGGCTTTTAGGCCTGTAGATATTCACAGAACATCAGATACTGCATATTGGTTGAGGTTTTTCTTAAATAAACGAAGATAGGGGAAAGATTTAAAGTCCCAGGGACATTATGGAATTCATGATTGGGAATTAGAGGAAAGTCTAGACTTATTTTTCCAACCCCTCAATTTGTAATGTAGAAGTAAGTACATTACCATATTTATACTATTTATTTACCCATTTATATGTGTTGAATAAATGAATGAATGAATGAATGGAGTCCACAACTCCCATGGTTCCAGGTGCCCCTGGGTAAAAGGGCCTCAATTAGAATTGGGAACAGAGCAACTGGTATCTCTTCTTTTGACAAACAATAACTCTGAACAGGCTAACCAGATAGATTAAATGACCAAAAGCACACAACTTTTAATCAAATTTCTGGGGGAAACCATGAAAAATGTGTTTCTTCTTGTGTGTCAAGAAAGGGTTGTCCACTAACTCCCACAATAATACTCACAGGGCCTGGTGCAAGTCACTCTCCACCTTTCACTGGTTATGTGACCTTAGATCCTGCTTGCTTCGCCTTAAATAGGATGTTCTCTGCGGTGCCTTCCAGCTTACGTGAGCTGTGAGCTGTGTAACGGTATGTGTGAGGGGAGTTCGCTAAGCACAGTGATGGAATTCAAGTGTGAGTACGGCCCCTGTCCTGTAGGCCTCAAAATACCTACAACAGAAAATATAACCAACAAAACAGGAAAGACTATGGGTAAGTTCCAAACCCGAAGTTATCTACTAAATGTCATGGGAGGTCAGAGGACAAAGATGGTTAGAAATGGAGCTTGACTGGTTAGAAAGGGCTTCGCTGGTTAGATTCAGACACGTAGAGCGTGCAGGAGGCGGTTCAGTTGGAGAAATCATAAGAGAGCAAGAACACAGAAACAGGAAAGCAAAGTAGAGAACAGAACGTTCCTGGGAAGAACTGTTGAATCGGAGCTTCTCGATTCACATGGCACCAGAGAAAACCATTCAAGTCAGAAAGCCATTGTCTCAAAGGGCCAGGCAGGGTGAGGGTGAGCTCCAGGAGTGCCGGGCTTGGGCCTCCTGTTCCTATGACAGCCCCGCAACTCGACGGGGCCTGTGTTCAACGCGTGTTGAATGGGTCCAGAGTCATCTGGGCATTGGAAAGTGCAATTTTCAACTACAAAGAAAAGGAGTGTTGAAACCCATGTTTACATAAGCTTTCAATTTATATATTAGAATGTCATGGGCTAAGGCCTCTGTGATTTTTTTTTCTTTAAGCCAATTTCTAGTTATGCGGAAGTATAGTTTTACTGCACCTGTAGGCTTTTTCATCTCTTCCCTTTCAGGGTCCGCCTACAGAGACCTAACTATAAACACACATGAGCACTGACCTCTATTCGCACCTTCTTGTGCATCTTACCTTTGTTTAATTGCATGTACTAATTCAAACTTCATTATTCTTTCATAATTGTTCTGGGACTTGTTTTTCCATTCTCAATTAACTGCTATTCTTTAGTTGGGAAAGAAATGGAGGGAACACAGGCTTGAGCAGAAACACTGGATTTATAATGTTAAATAACAGCAAAAAGGTCAGTTGAAGGACTGGCTCCGATAAAATTTGTTGAAGTAGCATCGAGAGGTTAAGTAATATTTGCAGAAAGGTTAGGTAAGTGAGGTGAGATTGTATCAATTCTTGGGCTCACTGATGGCTGTTCCTTGAAAAACCATTTCTGTGTGGTCTGCTTTGTGATTATAGCATGTCAAGTGACTCTGGGAGTCATGCTTAATTATAAAATATCAGGATTAATTTTCCCCCTTGAGCTAAGAATAATTCACCAGAAAGGACAGCCACGTGAGTAATTCTGTTCTGTGTAGCCCGATGGTTTGTAGATGGAGCCTTCTTTTCTTCTTTTTTTTAAAATAATGATGACCATGATGTTAAAGAGGAGAAGGAAGGAGACATTTCCAAGCACACCTTTAACTGAAATGATAATTCTCCCATAACGGAGTGTCCTCCAGTGGGGGTCACCGGGGAAAACCCTCCTTCTCCTGGGACCCAATCATTTTCACTTTCTATACCATTCATCTAATTAGCAACAGAAGGAGTTGTTGTCTAGATCACAAAACCCAAAACATTATTTCAAATTCTCACCTTTGAGAAGGGGAAGGAGTTTAATATACAGAATTGTAAAGGCCTAGGTGGCAGGTCCGAAAGGTGGTCATGCTAGATCATATCATGGTACTGCGAGCTGAAGTGACCTGCATCTGAGTTTGATGTAACAATGGTATCATGGAAACACTTCCTGGTTGCTAAGAAAGCTAAGCAAATACTTGCAAAAAACAGTGCACAGATTCAAATAGGCACATTCAAAGCACGCACAGATAGGCGACAATTTTCTGGCAGCATAAATGTAGCAATTAGAAATATGAAGAACCTGAAATTTAGGGCATTAGAAAATGAAAAATAAATTATACCCAAAATAAGTCACAGCTAATTATCATTTCAAGATGAAACTTACCATTAAATTTACATGTGGAAGTTAATATCTTAACCCTAGCAGAATAACTGACTCTATTGTTTTACCAAAACATTTGTTTTCAAAATTATTCAGCCAAACTAGGGGTGTCTATGGCTTGGGGACAAGAATAGTTTAGATTGCCCTGACCAATTTGCTCAGTGGTAAAAGTGCCAGCCCAAGGACTGAAGGCTCATGAGTTCAATTCTGGTTGAGAGTAGGCTTGATACCTGGCCCCAGTCGGGGTGTGTGCAGGAGGCAACCTATCGATGTGTCTCTCTCACATCAATGTTTCTCTCTCTTTGTCTCTCCCCCTCCCTTCCACTCGTTTTAAAAATCAATGGAAAAAATATCCTTGGGTGAGGATTACCTCCCCCCCCAACCCCCCCCCCCAAAAAAAGTTTGCAAACTTCTGTTTAACATTTCATCACCAGAAAGGTTTGTTAAAAATACAGGTTACAGCCCTAGCCAGTTTGGCTGAGTGGATAGAGTGCCGGCTTACAGACCGAAGGGTCCTGCTTCAATTCCAGTCAAGGGCACATGCCCAGGTTGTGGGCTTGATCCCCAATAGGGCGTGTGCAGGAAGCAGCCAATCAATGATTCTCTCTCATCATTGATTTCTATCTCTTTCCCTTTCCCTTCCTCTCTGGGGAAAAATAAAATAAAATACAGGTTACAGGGCTCTGACCCGAGAGGTCAGTAGGTTTCAGATGGAATTTAATAATTTTCTTTTCTAACAAGGAATTGGGACCAAAGTTTGGGAACCAATGGATCAGAGACCAAAATTCTTTGATTTTTTTCCTCAATGACCACACTTGATCTATTTTCCTATGACTAGGCAATTTACTGTATAATAAAACAACCAATGTTTGGCATGAACCAGCCTATACAATTTGGAAATGCTTAATAAACATGAACTCAAATGGTGGATGATTGCCCTGGTCAGTTTTATAAATAAACTTATAAAATTTTATTATGGAAAGCAATCAGTACTCCTAGGAAGAATGAAAAGAATGAAAATACAGAAAAAGGGCTCTTATTTAAATGAGAAAAATCCTAGGAGCAAGTTGTCCTGCCCTGAATGCAGTCTCTAATTTACTGTACACCGCACACCTGGGCATAATCCCAGTCTTTCACAAAATGTGGAACAGTACTACTTACTGACAAACACTGATGTTTTGAGGATCCAGTGTACCATAAGCTGAATGAGAGGAGGGTATAGAAGAAGTTAAATAAATAAATAAATAAATAAATAAATAAGAAAAAGGCAGAAAATACCAAATATTGGTGCAGATGTGGAACAACCCGAATGCTCATGTACTGCGTGTGGAAGTGTGAATTGGTACAACTCTGAAAAACCGGCAGTCTCTACTAACGCTGAGCATAAGCACATCCTGTGACCCAGAAATTCCATTCCCAGGTATTTATTCGACAGAAATGTGTACATGTTTATGAAAGGACTTATAGCTCAATATTCACTCCAGCCATACTCATAATAGACCCAAACCCCCACCAACAGATATTACAGATCAGGGTTTCTCAACCTTGGCACTATTGGCATTTGGGGCAGAATAAGCCTGTGGGTGCTATCTGTGTATTTTAGGGGTGCTACTGGCATTTAGGTGCCACTAGCCTGTTTGGCTCAGTGGATAGAGCATCAGCCTGTGGACTGAAGGGTCCCAGGTTCTATTCCGGTCAAGGGCACATGTCTGGGTTGTGGGCTCGATCCCCAGTGTGGGGCGTACAGGAGGAAGCCGATCAATGATTCTCTCTCATCATTGATGTTTCTATCTCTCTTTCCCTCTCCCTTCCTCTCTGAAATCAATAAAATATATTTTAAAAAAAACTAATTCAAAAACCCTTTGTGCTCATCAACACAGAACTGAGTGCCAACTGTTAAGGGACTTGTCATCTAGATCAGATAAGGATGGAAGAGGCCCTGCTCTGACAAACAGAATGTATGTTACAACAGGGTACCAAGAAGTATGAATGACAAAGCTGACAGCTGGCATTAGGGGTTATCACCCCCACTTGCCCAGTGAGGAAACAGACTCAGAAGGTCACTACTCTCCCAGGGAACCTTCCTGCCCAGGGTCACTGAGAAGGGCTGGCCCAGGACTTGAATGTGAGCAGCTCTGCTCCAGAGCATTTTGCTCTCAGTCACTGTGCCATCCTGTGCCCAGAAATGTCTAGGCTGCAGCACCCAGATCCACTTCCTGGAGAAAACGTGAGAAATAAGGAGAGCTGCTCACGTTCAGTAAGACACATGCATTCTTTTTCCAGCACTCCGTTTCTTTCTCTCACATTCAATCAATAGACATATGTTGAAAAGACACCTAAGCCTGAAGCACTGTGACATTTCTTTTCCATTCCTGCCAACAGATTTTCTTTATTGTTCAGAAAACCATGTGGACAAATCTTTTCCTTCCAGCTATTATTAGGATTGACTTCCAAATTCCATCTCCCCAGCTCCCTCTTCAGGTGATCACATTTCTGCATGGTCTGACCAGTCACAAGCAGAGCGCCTGATCCAGGGGACACCTGGGCCCATGCAAAACTGGGTTCCAGAAGGCCTGGCTCTGTCCACGGGGCTTTTTCTAAGTCTCTCTTGATTAGCCTACTTTGAGTATGCTGCCTGTTTTCTTCCTGGGGTCCTAATGCTGTGGCAGAATGCATGGGAGAACGATCAGCCAGCACTCTGAGGGAGGAAATTTTAACCTTCTTTCGCAGATCTGTTAGTCCAGGGGAGTTTCGGATCCAAAGCCTGAACTGAATTCCTGGGGAGGCTCTGACCTATATACCTCCTCCTGTGGTGGGCCCCTGAGGGTCTCCACAGCTCAGCCTGAGTCAGCTGTGGAGGGCCCTGGGGTGAGGCTCTGCAGCTCCACCCAAGTCAGTCAGAGTGGGGAAGTAGGACTACAGTTTTTTGTTTTTTGTTTTTAATAAACTTTTATTGATTTCAGAGAGGAAGAGGGATAGAAACATCAATGATGAGAGAGAATCATGATCAGTTGCCTCCTGCACCCCCACAGGGAATTGAGCCCAAAACCTAGGTATGTGCCCTTGACTGGAATCAAACCTGCTACTCATCAGTTTGTAAGCCGACACTCTATCCACTGACCCAAACCGGCTAGGGCAAGACTACAGTTTTAACCAGATACTGAACTAGGTTGCAAGCCCCCCCTCCCCCCCATTTTCCTTTTCACTGACTGATACAATAATAAAAGATAACATTGAGGTAATACTTATCAGGTGCTGGGTACTTGGTCAACATTTCACGCTGATTACTATTTAATGCTCACAACAACCCTAAAGTAATAAATGCAATTATTACCCTCATTTTACAGATAAGCAAGCAAGACTTTATTACCTAAGGTCATGAACTCAGGTAGCATTAAAGCAGAACTTTGAATTTATACACTTATATACTTAACTGCCTCCTAATACTAATAGATTTATAAAGGTATTTGAACTCATTCAGAGCTCCTTCTTTCTTCCCAGGGACCAAGGCTACAGCTGTTGAGAGGTAGATCTGCATGTCCTGGGGATAAGAATAGTTTAAATTGCCAAGCACCGTGGGGAGGACTGAGACAATACGTGAATGCACTGAGGTTAATGAGAGCCAGGTTCCTCACTCCTGGAGAAGGAAGTGGAGAGCATA